ACACGTAGGTATACCCTCATTTAGAAAGAACACTAGTCATAATGAACACCTATATTGCCTTATTCAAGATGAGGAAAAATTAGTTTTTGTTTTCATCTTTTTTTATAATTAGTCATCAACAGATAAAGTAGTTTTATTCTAATTTTTCTTGCTATCTTCAAAAAGATATGTTTCAGCTTTCTTTGAGGTCTTTGTAGTTACTTTTGAAAAGCAGGTAGCTCTTGCTTTGTATAGTTCCAATGTACACAGATTTCATGGTTTAGTTAAATAGCACCAGACCCCTAACAACGTGTTTCAAATTGCGATTACATCAGTGTTTTAACTGCGAATAAATGCATAAAGCATAAACTTTGCAGCTGGCTCTTCAGTCCACAGATCACTGTGTAAATAACAAATGTGCAGCAGCATCAGTAACCTATCACTTTTTTTAACCATAACTTTTTTTAGCCGAAGACTCGGATTGCTTTCTGCCTGTTACTTAGCATAAGTACAGACAGCATGTATGTAGTTGTGTTGCCTCCTGTCTCTCCGTGATATCCACATAACATTATGCAAAAACAAATCACTGAAAGAGGGAATGAGCTAACAAAGATGAAAGTACAATGAAGAAATGAAAAATGATAATGCTATGAGTGAAATTTGAATCAAACGCAAATGGACTTAAAGGAGAAATGGTTTACTGTGGAATGCCGACACTATCTTTGAGAGATTCTAGACATGTAGCTGGTGGAAGTTACTGAATGCAAGTGCATCACTATAAATGAGGATAGTGGTTGTGACAAAAAGAATGAAAATGTCATGGAGGAAGTGAGGCCAGCAGAAAGCTTCACATTAATTAAAGGAGCTCTGGGGATATTGCATGATACTGAAAGCACAGAGGATGAGATGTCATCAGCTGATCCATAGTTAGGAGTATGACAATTTGCCAAGGCACAAAAAAGACGCTCACTTTGTCTCATAATTTATATGACTAGAAGAAGGCGGCACCCACTGTCCAAACTACTCTTAAGTTTTTTAAAAGAAATAAAACATCTTAATTCTCAATGTTTCTAATATTTTAAATAACAACATATTAAATACATATTAGCTTTATATTTTTCATTTCCGTATATATTTGTAATCAAGAATAAGAAAATTTTCAGTATGTTGACACAAATCTTCAAAGGTCACAAAGCAATCATAATTTTTACCGTTATTTATAAGATAGCTTTGCATGGTCAGTTTTTTCATTTTTATTTTTATAGAATATAAAAATGCAGATTTCTTGCATGCATATATTGTGTACCCATCACCCAAAAAGTGAAAATTGTACTCAGTAGGTAATTTTTCAACCCTCATGCATGGTCGTTATTATGGTCTGACTCTACCATGCAGAGTGAGGATTGCCGATAGTTGTGTTCTGGCTGTGGACAGAATGCAAGTTGGCTCTGCTCCAGAAAGACATTTCCTCATTGTTCCAGGCTTTAGCCCACATCAGTTCTATATATTCTCCTCTTTTGCTGTGTTTACAAGGGTACAGAGAGATCGATGTGACAAAAGTACTTCCTTCTGCTTGTTCTCCTGTGCTTAGATTCGTGTCCATACTTTGTTTATCTGTGGTCACCACTTACTGATGCGTTTATTATAATTACCTGCTTCCTTGACTGGAGCCCAGGGAGGGAGACTGGCCTGTGGCTATCTCTGTCATCTTTTTATTCCCAGCTCTTTATCTTGCAACAGATACAGATTTTATTATTCAGGTATGGTAAGGCCAACAGATCTAGGAACAATTGGCATTGAAAAAATAGCTACAGTTCCCAGAGCGGGAGGCACAGCGCACCACAGAGGGCGACGCGGGGAAGCACCGCAGTCCGTCAGGAGGCAGAGGGAGTGGGAGGAGATCGTGGGCAAGAGCCTCCACTGTGGTTTCCATGGGAAGGCTTGGATGAGGCCAGGCTAGTCTGATTAATTTCAGAAAGGCCTGGGACGTATGGGTGGTTCTAGTTGTCTGGTACCTGGTCCCAGGGGGATTAGGGTAGGGGGACTGTGACCTGGAGTGTAAGAGCCAAAGGTGGTGTCTGGGGAATGGGCTCTGGATTGGTTGATTTGCCTATGCAGGGCATGCTTACTGGAGAGCTGTGTGCTATCTCTAGGAATTAGCGAACCCTGAGATGGGCAGTCCTTCCAGTGTCAGCAAAGCCCCAGAAGTCAAAGGTCAGAAACACAGAAAATAAAAAGATACAATTAATACAACCATTCAACTTCAATCAGTTTTGTAAGTTTCCATGTGGAATCCAGTTTTGTAAGACCTTCAAATGGCCTAGAAGGCCTTAGCATGGTCTAGCCCCCTGCAGTGAACTTGACCTCCTTCCACCCTTCGGCCCTCGCACCCTCCCTTCAGTCACCCAGGGTCCCCTGCAGTCCTTAGAACACACCAGGGGCTTATACAGCTCTGCCTGGAATGCATTTCCTTCCAACACAAACTGGGCTTGCATTTCTCTTCCCATCAGGCATTTGCTCACACGTCGTCTTCTTAGCAAAACCTACTTCCTTCTGCTGCCAGCACCCACTCCTGACCCCCTTACTCTGCTCTGCTGGGTTTCACATAGCACCTGTCATTTATTACCATATTGTTTAGTGTACTTACTTAATATGTCTATTTATTGTTTGTGCCTCTACCACTACAATGCAAAGTGTCTTTATTTTGTTCATCAACATACCCTAAGAGGTCAAAAGCAGTGTTTCCGAAAATTAGTGATAGCTGTTGTAATGCTCAACAAGATAATATAAGTTGTTCAGATTCTTGTTTAGAAATCCATACTTCAGCCAGGCAGGTGAGAGACAAGAAGTTTTTCACCTTTTTTGACTTCTAGATTTGGCATATTGAGTTTCTCGTGTTAATACCACAGCTACACCAAGCAAAAGGTTATTGACTTTTTGCACCAACCAGTCTACCTGATTTTTCTCATTCAGGCTCCCTTGTTAACAGTTTTGTTTGAAAGCGTTCTTTTCCTTATCAAAATCCACAAGGTTGTGTCTTTCATATTTCTTAGGAGAGTCACCTCCTATTTCTTCCTGGAAGAAACTCTGTGGCTGGAAATGTTAGGAGCTTCCTGGGCTGAAGAGGGACAGACCCTAGCCAGCCCAGGGTGCCCCTAACAAATGGCTTATATAATATATCCAGATATTTATTGATATCAAGGAATTATTGGGGACGTTTAGGTATGAAATTGTATTGTGGTTTTATTCTTCTTTAAAAAAAATCTTTATTTTTCACAGATGCATATGAATGAGATAAAATAGCTGGATTTGCCACAACCTGTTATAAGAGTTAGGAAAACAGGTAGGGATAGCGATGAACCCACATTGGCTAGGAGTTGGTTATTGCTGAAGCCAGGTGAGAAGTACATGAGTTTCATTGCATTATTGTTTCTACTTTTCCATGTACGTCCAATTTTCAATTAGTAAAGTATTTTTCAAATGTAATAGTACTGATTGGACAATGTGGCTTGTTTCTGATTTTAAATGAAACACGTTTGGCATTTCACTGTGATGAATATGTTGACTATTGACTAAAAAGCTTTTCATATTGAGAAGCTACCCTCCTATTTCTAATTGTTTAAACCAGATGTGGGTGCAGAAGAATTTTGAATGCCTTACCAATATCTTGAGATTATTATAGGTTTTTCTTATTAGATCTATTGCTGGAAGGTAGTCTTACATCTTATTCATAGTGAAGCCCTCTTGCATTTCTCAGAAGATCTCACAAGTAGTTATTTTTTTCACTTCTCAAATATTTGCTGAATGGCTATGAAGTGCCAGCCTGGTGCTGGCCATGAGGGGTACAGCAGGGAACAAGCCAGGCCGAGTCCTACTCTCCTGAAGCTTCTTTCTCTAGTGAGGGAGATGGACCATGAATACATAAATGAGCTCAGGTGGTAGGGCTGTCTGTGTCTTTCTGGCTGGCAGAGAATCTGTGTTCCTGGACACAGGGGAGGGATGATGAGGGGGAAACTGTGTAAAGCATTGCTGCCTTCTTTCCTATGGGCAGAATTGCTTCTCAATGAGGCTAATCATCAAGAGAGGCACATTTCCCTCAACTTAGCTCCATCAGCTTTACATTTAGTGATTATTCTTTCCAGATTCTGGCAAAGATTGGATGTTAGCATTCATTTTTGAGCCTGAGTTCCCCTACTTCCTTATGTCTACAGGTATGTTAGTGCTAAGTTCAAAGAGGTGGCCTCCAGGACTTAAAGGCAAATACCACTTGCAACTGGAATCAAATATATGTATTATAAATGTAAACCATAATCTAAGCTTTGGTAACTATCTCATTAATAACTTTACTTCTTATTTAAAAACAAAGCTAATTAGGAAATTAGAAATACTTGTAATTGCAGTGAGTAATGATCACCACCAGAGTGAATGGGCACCTTCTCTATGCTCATTCAGTTCTGAGAACTAACTCATTTGGCACTGTTCTTTCACTCTTACAGCCAAGAAACTATAGGCCAAAGAGGTGAAATACCTTGTTCAAAGACCACTGTAACCAACTAGAGGAGCTGGGGATTGAACCCAGGTAGCTTCTCTCCAGAGTACCGGTTTCTAACCAGTATACCATAGGCCTGGTCTTTTGGTTGTTTTGGGGGCGATTATTTTTGGTTTTGTTTTAGACAGGGTCTCATTCTGTTGCCCAGGCTGGAGTGCAGTGGTGTGATCATGGTTCACTGCAGCCTCTACCTCTCACACTCAAGCGATCTTTTCATCTCAGCCTCCTGAGTAGTGGGGACCACAGGCATGTGGTACTATGCCCAGCTAATTTTTTATTAATTTTTATAGAGGCAGGGTTTTGCTGTGTTGCCCAGACTGGTCTCAAACACCTGGGCTTAAGTAGTCCATTGCCTCAGCCTCCCAAAGTGCTGCAATTATAGGCATGAGCCACTGCGCCTGGCCAATAGGCTTGTTTTTAATAGTCTGTGGATGAACATTTATTTCAAGATGCTCTTTTTGTTGTGTTTCAGGTTTTGCTGATCTTTGCAAAGGAAGATAGTCAGAGTGATGGCTTCTGGTGGGCCTGTGACAGAGCTGGTTATAGATGCAATATTGCTCGGACTCCGGAGTCAGCCCTTGAATGCTTTCTTGATAAGCATCATGAAATTATTGTGATTGATCATAGACAAACTCAGAACTTCGATGCAGAAGCAGTGTGCAGGTACCTTCTCTAATTTAATAGCCTTAGTAAATGTTCGCTTAACAGTTTAAAATGAATTTCATTTATAGATATCTTTAGTTTATTTTGAATATTTCTAAAATATGTGTTGATGTTTTTAAGCAGTGTATACAAATGTCTATGGTGAAAGCTATAGCTCCTTTCTGTAGATTTCTGTCTCCTTTTCTACTTTTCCACATTTGAGTTGCACTAAATTTAGAGGTGTGAGCTGGGCTCCCCTGATAACTTCAGGGTATTCCCCCCACCCCGTATATTGCTCATAAAAAACATTAAAATTCACTCAGTTCTCATTACACAGATAAGGTTTGGATTTAAACCAGCTATTTTAATCTTCATTATTCTGTCCCAAAATGAACATCGGAAATGTGTGAAATATAAATTTTTTCATGCCTAACACAGATGGGTAGATCCCACAGGAGGCTTCCCAGTCATGGAGTGAAGGCAGCCACTTTGCAGCAACAGAAAATCTTCCAGGGACCCCAACCCCCTGCTTGTTTATAGAAATGCTCGCACTCTGGGGAGGAAACACAGGCCTGTTCATAAATAAATGCTTGCTTGTAAGAGTTTGCTCTAGATGAACTGATTGATTTAGCAGAAGTGGAATGCTTTGAAGCTAGACGGAAGAGGTCATTAATTAAATGTTAGACCAAGACAGAGTCCAATTGCATGGGGAGCTGGAATTTTCTCGAATGTTAGTAAGTGAAATAAAAGGTGGGAAAATGGCCTTTTAGAACTTTGGTACCCTGACAAGAAATCAGTGGATTAAGAGAAGTTTCTTAACACAGGCATCACCTGGCTATTTTTTGATGATTTTCAGTTTCCCAAGGAAGAATTTTTCTTAAGCAACTGTTTTAGATATGTTTTAATGGCTTCAAATAATCTATCTTTCTGCATAAAAATTTTTCTATTTAATAGTATATAAAAATATACATATTGTATATCGTAAAATATCTGGATGCTATTTCTAGTATTAGGAAATATTTCTGATGATTTTATGGTAGAATTGGGTCTTGTATAACTATGTATTTCAGATTTTTCTCGGTCTCCACTTACTTTACTTACGCAGGTTTATAGTAGAAATCCCAAGCTTTTTTGTTCATACATAGTACGACTTAAGACAAACTTTACTATTAAAAAAAAAATCAACAGGAAGAAATCTTTTAATTCAGGCAAAGGCCCAGGTTAGCAGATAAGCTTTACATTTTTCTTTGAATATAAAGAAATAGAGTTTTGTTTCCTCTCAAATGTGCTTCTGTCCTAGCTGTACAGAAAAACAATAGAGGATCTATGTGGTTTAGAATTTACGTCTACATATCTGGCAGTGTATTTCCTGATCACTGTTAGTCACATTGAGGGTGACCAGATTCCAAATGCTTGACTCCCAGCATATGTTCCCTAGGAAGACAGGTAGGTGACAGGCTCCTGGCAGACGTGCATTCTTTGTTGTCATCTGTGGCGCTAGATCCCTTGCTCTTGAGCCAGGATGGGACCTTCACCTAACATTCATCCTTGGGCCTCAGCCCCACCTTCCCCTTAATCCTCTCATCCAGGAAGAGGCCTAGGTCTCTCTTACCACACCAGTTCCTTTGGAGGGACCAGAGAAAAGAGGAAAGCGGCAGGAAGCAACCTAAAAGATGGAAGCCAGTCCCAAGAGAAACTAAGAGAGTGTGTGCTCCAGCCTAGTTATGCTCGTTACATGTTTTAGCCTCTTGCCTAAAACCCACACCTTAGGATATAGCCCAGCAGTGTGCCCATGACACCTACTGAGGTGGAAAAGACTGAATGAGATGAGACATACTTAGTGTTTCCCTAGATATCAGAACATGCCTCAGAAACACTGTGTTTTTTCATTAGGTGCTAACTGGTATTTCCACTGAGTATCCATCCAGCAGGCTCCTGAGTATAAATAAGTGTAGCTTCACGTTAGCAGTACCTGCCCTGTGGGGTGGCTGAGTGGGAAGTAGCCTGTGTTGGCATTGGAAGGATATTGACTTATGCCTTCTGCCCCATTGGGAGTTAACAGCATTCTCTGCAAAGGATCTCTTTCAAATACCATTTATCCACCAAGGGAAACTTCACTTCCGGGGAATACGGCAGCCAATCATTTTCTGGAGCCTTCCTCCCACATAGTGTGAGGGCTCAAAGAACAGAATATGGAGAAGGTACATTTTTTGAGAGGTCAGAAAATGTTGCAGTTGAAGAGGATGAAGCAATATGAGCCAGCTGTCCCTGGGAGGTGGGGGGGTGGTAGTTCAAACACATCAGAGAGGAGCAGAAATGCCCATAGCCAGAGAGAAAAACAAATGTATGTTGTTTCACAAATTATTCAGGAGTAATTCTGTTCTTGGGGATGATGGTTCCCTTCTAAGGTATCTCAAAATAAGAAGAGGCCAGAGCAAGAGAATAGGTCAAAGCAAGCATGCTGATTTACCCCAAGATTCAAGGGTGAGGGCCTTTATTAAAAGTTTGTCCAATTTACAACCCCCTGGCCAGAACAGTGCAGAATCTGAACTGCAGCATGGCACAGCTAAGAAGATTCATGGACCTAAAAATTCTATATCCTGATTCTTTTGGTCCTGTTTAATTCCTAGGGAATAAACTAACTATATCCAGATGATCCTGCTACAGCAAACATCATACAGTGACAGGTTCTACATTGCAACATTTCTCAGCCTCATGACAAAGTTATGTAAAAGTATTTAAGCACAAGCTATAGGAGCACTAAAAAACTGAAGTGACTCTTTGTACCATCTTTAACTGGCTTTAACCAGCGTTTGTACCTCCAGCTGCCAGCAAATGCTTTAATTTTTATCACAAGGTCAACTTTCTGAACTATCTGCTGTTTTAAAAGAAAGAAGATCAAACTCAATTAGCTCCCCCAGGTACATACTGATAAGAAGAGGTTTGTAGGATTGCCAATTTGTTTTTATTTTGCAGAGTGAAATTTCAATTTTAAAAAATGGAATTTAAGTGGAATTTGCCAATTTTTTAAGTGGAAAATTGGCAGGTCTGACCTATTGGATACTTGCCTAGGAGTTAAAAGAAAAAAATTTTTAATGAAATGAAGATATTGTCCTAATCCACAAGGGCATCTGTCTTTGTTGTCTTCTATGTGTTTTGGGACCTTTTCTTTAGAGAAAGACTTGATGTTTTTTCACTTTCAATGTGAAGAAGTTCCGCATTCATTTAATGTAACAAAGCCCAGATCACTTTGTTTGACTTGGAACCTTCTAATTGCAGGTCGATCCGGGCCACAAATCCCTCCGAGCACACGGTGATCCTCGCAGTGGTTTCACGAATGTAAGTGCACCTCCCATCCCCAGCTGGAAGGAGCGCTGTCCATTCTGAAATATTTGTCAGATGTAATCTGGTCTTTGAGCTATCTAAGTGATGGGTACATCTTCCATCCTGGAACACCAGTTTTAGATCTTGATCTTGCTCTGGGGGTTTTGTTTGTTTCACACGTTCCTGGAAATATTTAGGTTTTTCTTTGTATCTTATGTAATTGCCGTTAGCACATAGTCATACACCTCAGGGAAGAAGTTTACTCGTTATATGCCAGAAATGAATGGAAAATGTAAGGAGGAGGAGGTCTGGAGAAAACATTCTTCCAGTTTATCTTTTTTCTTTGAAGAAAAGGGATAGGGATATGCTTGTTTTCATTTAAGAAGAAACACACATGTTCAAGCATGAGAACAAAGGGGCACTAAATCTACAAGACAAGGGTTGTGGAGTTGATGTTGGGACCATTATGTGTCTAGAGGCGGGACAGTGGAGTTTATACCAGTGCTGGAAGGCAAAGAAAAGGGATTGCACTGTAGGTGCAGTGAAACTGTAGAATGAGAGAATGCTCTGCTGGGTTTATCATCTGAAATGGCCAGCACTTAAAATAGCCAACAGAAAGAAAATTGCCTGTACAAGCTACGGTGCTGGGAATCTTGGCAGGTAACAAAAGTTGTTGTAGTCATTCAGTGGCTATATTTAGCTTCAGAGAGAATACGACCTTAATTAGGGCCTAGGACCTGTTGGACTTGGCCTTATTATGGCATTTGGCACAAATTCTGTGACAAAGGCAAGGAAAATCTGGCCCAGGGGACTTGAAATGCTTCATTCCAAAACCATGTTTATACAGCAAGAAATCGTGCCTTCAAAGTCTTGCCCTTACTAAAGACTCCTACTTACCTGCTACTCCTTGAGTGTTTTCCTAGGAGCCGTGTCTTCTTATTTTGTTTGATACCCATCACGGGATGTGGTCCAGAGAAAGTAAAGACATTGTCCCCACAGGTTCATTATACCTCTCCATTCTGGTGGGAGGTAAGGTTCCCCAGGGAACGAGTGAGGGGAACCGAGATGTAAGATCAGCGTCTTTCAACCCTCTTTTTGACGTTTATCTTCTGGACACTCTGGGATCCAAATAAGGTCATAGAGTCTTGGACATCAGTACCAGAAATGTTGAAGGTCACACAGCATTTTTCCCAAGCCTGGCTTATTACACGGGTCCAAGAACAAAACACTCTTGTTTTTCCAACTCATATGGCAAATATGTTTGCTAGTCCTTGACAAATAATGGTTGACTATGGCTTATTTGTTATGATTGTCACCGATTTTTTCTGGTTTTATTATAAAATATTTCATATATAGAGAGTAGTAATAAAATGAATACCTGTGTCTGTGTCACCAGCTTAGGAAATAAACCATTATTAATACCCTGGAGCCCTTTTGGTGGCCTTGCTGATTTAACAGTCAGAGAAGGTAGAACTTGGAGTTCCTGAAGAAAAAGAGAGTGGGTAAGATAGCTTTTCCCTTAGGGCAGGAATCAGCTATGGGTAATGCCACAAGTCAGCACTGGGACTTCTGCTCCTATTTTCTATCTGCATTTCTACCCAATCCCTGTTATTCCATTTTTCTTCCCTAATTTTTACGGTATGTCCCCATGTTACTTGCATGGCTGTCTCAGGACACTGTTTCTCTCATGGTGATAGAGAGCCCGGTGATGGTGTGTTTTCGTGACAAGCCAACCTACATAAACTGAAGACCTGAGACTCAGCAGTAGGCTCACTATAGCAAACCCTCTTGTGAACTAGGTGGCAATTATCCATTTTTATTTTCTCCCTTTCTCTTCTAACTGTATGTTCCTGCTGATATTTCTCTCCCATTTGGCTTGGGGGTCCAGCAGCCTGGAGTGCTGGCTGTCTTCCTCACATTGAGAGTTGGACCCAGCTCAGTTTTGGTATGGGAGGCATGCTTCCAGATGGTTTGGGGATAGTGGTCTCAGCATGAACAGTGCACCTAACATGTGCGTTTATGGGACTGCCCCCAGACATGTGGCTCAACCCCAAAGGTCAGCTGAGCTGGAAAGGGCCACTCATGTGTACCAAGATGGATACCTCCAGTTACACTGCTGGAGTTTTCTCTACTGCTTTTATTCTTTTGCATCTGGAAGGTAGATGTGGGGTCTGTGTCCTAGAAGGCAGGTGTACCCGTGGGCACGTGCTTGTCAGGAAGCCACTCTTGGAGCTAATGCTGTGTGGCCTCATTGCTCTCTCTCCCGTATTTCAGTGTGAGGAACCCTGGTTTGTATCTGCTGAGTGACCACATTTTCTGCTTTGCTGCAGATCGGATGACCATGAAGAGGCCTCAGTCCTTCCTCTTCTCCACGCAGGATTCAACAGGGTATGTACAAGATGTCCAGCATCTCTCTCAGGTGCGGGCACCTTAACCCCGACTCTCTCATAACAGGAAGCCAAAGCTGCCACAGAGAACTGTTAAGGGAATTAAGCCCAGGACTGTTGGGGAAAGGAAGAAACTGTGTTCTCATGGGAGAGTAACGAGCAGCTGCCAGTCAACCTCTTTGCCTTTGGTGCTGTCTAGGTTTTCTCCATAAATCTTGGCAACAGATATGCAATGACATAAAAACACAGCTTATTATATCAGATAAAAATTCTGTCATCCTAAAGTAATCTTATTTAAATCAGTACAGTCAATTAGATTCAATGTGTGTGTTATTATATATAGATAAGTCCACCAAATTGGCACCTAAGCCTCTGTTCATCAGGGCTGGCCAGAGCTTATATGCTAGGGACAGACCCATGATGACTATAGCACCCTGTGAACTCCCTGTTTAAACCGTTAACATCAGCAAAGAAAAATTAGTTGAGTGGCAAACTACATGAATAACACTGATATTCAACTTGAAGATTAAGAATTACTCCAAGGAAACTCATTAACAAACTAAATAACTAAGCTTACCCAGTATCTCAAGGTAAAAATTAGACTGGAGGCAAGGCTGTGTGCATGAAAATGGAAAGGAAATGATGGAATGGACTTGAAAGAGAAGAAAGGGAATAAAGGGAGGAGGAAAAAGATCTTCAAAATATGAATGTTTAAAAGAACTATATTCCCTAATAGTAAAAGAAAACAAGTCCTTATAGAGAAATTGTGGAAGACCTTACTTCATATCTTAATTTTTTAAAATAATAAACATATATATTACTCCTATTTAAAAAATAAAAAGTTTCCCTTAGGAGGCTAATAGGATAGAGGACCATGGTTTACTTATAAAGCTTTTGCAGATAATCTAAACTCAAGTAATCCTGTGACTTCCTGGCTTAAACTATAATCATCAAGAATAACACTGATATTCAACTTGAAGATTAAGATTGGTTACTCCAAAGAGACTTACCAACAAACTAACTAGGCGTACTCAGCGTCCCAAGATCTTTTGATAAGAGTAATCTGAATCCCAAGTAGGTGAAGCGATATGTTCCTTAAAAATTAGGGTACTGCCTATGCCTTGTGATTTATGAAGATCCTCTGTGTGCTTTAAATAATGGCGCTTTGCTACTCCAGGCTTTAAAAAAAAAATATATATATATATATATTCCTCTTAGTTGTAGCCCACAGAGAAGCAAAAACTACCTTTGTGATGCAGTTGTTTTGCGCTTTGGTATATGCTTCGGTGTGGAAGTAGCAGTGCTGTAGAACAGATTCAAGGTAGTCTAGTGGCTCACGATGTGTGATGGAAATGAATGTTTCCAGCTTGCAATATTTTTCACACTCCTAACACTTTTTCCTCTTGCCTGTTGTCTCTTTTTGCAAGGGTTGGCATTTGGTTCTGAAAGCTATTCTTGTGTGCTGTATCTTAATGAGAATGCATGAGACAATGCTTCTGAGTTTTGGAATGAAGAGTTGCAAAAGAAAAATCAGCAAAGAAGCCATGTGGTTGAGACAGATTTTCTTTACTCACTCATTTTTCTAAGAAGAAGCTCTAAAATTATTCACAGTCTTCACAGAACTTCCGCGTAATATTGACCACCTGACTCTACCCCAGTCCCATGTTGTCCTTTTCAAGTTTGAGTTGGGACCTCATGGAGTGTAAGGACATAGATTTCCCTCATTACCTGGGGGGTGATTGGAGAATGGCAATGACACGCTGTGGGCTTCTTTGATTAGGACCCATGTATGTGCTGTTGGGTATCCTTTTGGAATTCTACCTTTAGTTCAGTGACCCTGCCTCAAATTGGTTTAGAATTGCTGCCATTTGAAGTGATAGTATCTTGTCTGGAAGGCTGAGATTGCACATATCCTCACAGTTAGGAGACACAACTGGCACTCTTTGGGTGCAAATGCTATTGAGAAAATTTAACCAAAGTTCCATTGTTTTCTTTTTACACATTTTATAACCTGTCCATGGTGCTCTGGAAGGCTTCATTTCCCTCTATCCAGACATAGACAAGACTGTGTTTTGCAGTCAGCCACAGTGAATAACCCTTGAACATGAACAGCATGAACAGAGTAGCTGTCAGGGCCCACCTGGTATTCTTCAGTGCTGGCTCTGATAGAGGCCATTTGCCAGTTAGGTCAGGGTGCTCCCAGTAGCTTGGGCTCATTCCAGGAGAAGCACGCTGCACCTACAACAGCTCTCTTGGCGTTTCTGTGGCACACCATCAGCTGAGACTGATCTTCAGGTGGTGGTTCTCCTTTTTTAGGCAAAATCCTGTCCTTCACAACTCTCTACCCAAGCACCTTTTCAAATATCCCAGTTACCTTTGCCTTCTGTGAGGCTGTTTTCTCTCTCTGAGCTGTTAGGATTGTATTGAATCATCTGCTGAGACTCACCCCTGTGTTGCTAGCTAATTGGCTGGTGCTTCAGTCTGCAGTCCCTGAGTGCGGATCTAGGAACACATTGTGCTATCACATATCCTACAGCAACTCCCCTGGAAGGCTCTGGAGCTGTATATAAGCAGCCGACTGTATGGATGCTTTTGGAAACCAGCATCTTAGCAAAGGACAGTTGCAACTGTCTTATATCAGCTTTATGCGCCTCTTTTTCTATTTGCAACAATGTTTGTTCAAGTTCACAAGTGTTTATGGAATTCTGCCTCGCGCAATGTGCCAGGCACGTTGGGGGCATGACTGTAGGACCAGTTCTCCACGGAGAGGCCTCCTGTGGAGTAGGAAGTGGGGAGCTATGATTTATTCTCAGGCCCAGTTCCCAGTGATTTACTTAATCCTCCTCTACAGATGAGGGATTTGATATTTTCTCCATTTTTGCAGGGGAGGAAGCAGGCTCAAAACAGCTAAACTTGCCAGAGCTCACACTCATGACAAAGTCCAGAAGCAAATGCATGTTGTTTAACTCCAATCTCTATATTGAGTCCACTAAAGTTAGATTTCCCAAGCTAGCGTTCCACAAAACACTAGTATACCAAAAGCTATTAATAGATCGTCCATGTAAAAAAGCTTCTATGTTCAAATAAGTTTGGGGAATCAGTGAAAACTCAGTTCTCCCCCCTTCCACACCTGAGAATCCACAGAGCACTTTTGCAACATAGCACACTGGCATTTTAAATGCTCTGAGGAGTCCTGTAGTAAAGAAACCTGCTAACTTTGTTTATCCCAACATTTTTTCTCCTTTTTTTGCACAAAATTCATGTTTATTATAGAAAATACAGATAAGCTAAAAATTAAAATTATTCATCATGCCATTGGCCTTTCAGATTTATTTCTAGGCAGAAATAGAAATGACTGTGTATTATTGGCAGAACAGTGTCATGATATACATACATCTCTATCTTATCCCAACATTTTCAAAACGTGTTTATCATGGTTTTTTTCAAATATTTACAACACATCAGCCAACAACCCTCAGAGTTTTGTGATAGGCTGATAAATAGCTTTTATCCAATTAAAAGCTCAAATGGAATCTAACCATGTTTAAATTTGCTCTGTAAATCAAAGAGAAAGTATTTCCCTACTTTGTGTGTTTATGGCTTCCTCTCTTTCCTTAGCCCTTCCCAGCTTCCACATGGAATAGTGGGGACCAGAGGCCCAGGGAAAGCCAGGCAGAAGCCAACCACTCCAGATATGTGGAGCCATCCACTCCAGTGTGTATATGTGGGGTGTGTGTGTGTGTGTGTGTGTGCACGCGAAAGAGTGAGAGAAAAAGAGAGAGAGAGAGGGTAGTGAGGAGAGGGATTGATTTTTTCCTCTGGCTAACTTGGGTGAAAGAATTCTAAGAAATACATCTTTCAGCAGGACCTAGTATTCTACTCCTCTGCCTATATAGCTACCTGAGAAGCAAAAGAATGTGATTTGGAATACGTTAGAATTCTGCTTCTCTCTCTACTTAATCGTTTGCCAGCCATATGCTTGAGAAAGGTTTGCATGATGATTTTTTTAAATCAGTTGAAATGCAAAACATTTCCCCTTTCCTAAGTAGAATTTTCCTTAAATCTGTTCTCTTACTATTTTTTACCTGCTTTTCATTTCTGATTTCGTTATTTCTCATTAATTATTGACATGATCATGTCGGAGAGCCTGCTCAACTTCCTATATACCCTACACTGAATCATGTAGCATATATAAGAAATGTAAACCAAATTACTTAGGGATTAAATGAAAAAGGGGCTACCCTTCTTTAAACGCTGGACTTGAGCAGCTCGGGCCTAGCATAAATGAGTGCTTCATGGGTCTTTGATGAATGACAATGTGTGCGGCATTTTCTCATGCGTTATTATTTGCTTATCTATTCATTCATTCACTAAGTTTATATAGAAATACATGAAAGTCTTTCTTTTTCATTCGAGATGAAACTAAAATTAGCCATTTTAAAGTGAACAACTCAGTGGCATTTAGTACGTTCACAGTGTTATACAACCACCACCTCTGTCTAGTTAGAGTGAGACCCCGTTGCAAAATAAACAAACAAAAACCATTTTCATCATCCCCAAATGGAAACTCTGTTCCCATTAAGCTGTCACTCCTAGTCCTCCTCCCCTCCACCCTGGCAACCACCAATCTGCATTCTGGCTCAATCAATTGGCCTATTCTAGATACTTTATAATCGTGGAATCATACAGTATGTGAATTTTTCTGTCTGGATTCCTTCACTTAATACTTTTTTGAGGTTCACACATGTTGTAGCATGTGTCAGTATTTTCCTATTTTATGGTCAAGTAATAATCCATTGTATGTATACACCACAATTTGTTTATCTGTTCAAATGTTGATGGACATTTAGGCTGTTTCTGCCTTTTGGCTATGGTGAATGATGTTGCTATGAACATGCACATACAAGTATTCGTTGAGTACTTGCTTTCTGCTCTTTGGAGTATATACCTAGGAGTGGAATTGCTGGATCATATGGGAATTCTATGTTTAACTTTTCCTCTGCGTTAGGCACTCAGAAAATTAGGAAGAAAGTAAAGAGTAGGCTCTCCCTTCTAAAGAGATCATTGATAATATGGTGCACAATGAACATGCTGACTGTTGGGTTTTAGATGACTTTATTAGTGCAATGTGAAGCAAAATGTTGCAGTAATTAACATGGCTAGGCAGGCATTCCATGCCCTGGAGTGTTCATAATGTAGTTTATTCTACCTTTGTTATGAAGGAAGTGAAGTGTACAGTATTACTTGCTCTGTTGTTTCTCATAGGTTTAAACAAGCACTTTGAACACCTTGACAACTGTTTCATCTCATCTTACCTACTAATTGTCTTACGTAACGGAGTTACCTGGGAGTAGGAACAACTGTTAAGTTTTTCCATTTGACACTCTAGGAAGTAACTATATATGTCTTATGTATTATCTTTGCTTTCTTTTCAGAGATTTATGGAGAATAGCAGCATAATTGCTTGCTATAATGAACTGATTCAAATAGAACATGGGGAAGTTCGCTCCCAGTTCAAATTAAGGTATGTAGCAAAATGAGACAGTAACATGAGGTTAACAATTCTTTAGAAAATCTTATCTGTCAATAGGCTGATGCTCATGGATTCATAGCTGAATACCAGGGATTTTGAAGCTTTTAAACAGGCAATGAATGGCAGCTGGCCAACAGCAGTATCTAAGCCAAGAGGCCCCTAATATAAAGAAATAAATTGGAAGCATTTCTTCTTTTGACAGTATTTTCCACTATTTACAGAATTTAAAAATTGTAACCTAGGAAAATGTTAAATTTTTGCACAATTAGATGGAGATTAAGAATAGCCTTTGAGGATTATTTTCTACTTCCTACTTTGAATATTTATAAATTTTTACTCGTATTGTTATGCATAGGGGCAAACTAATGGCGATATTTATCATGCTAACCATAATGATTGCTAAGTAACCACAACAGCAATTTCATTAAGTCTGTTTATGGCCTCAATATGCATGAAGTAGCTTTAAGAAACCAGTTTTAAGTCTCTTTACAAGCATGTTGTGTTTTAAGAGCAGGCTTGTCACTGGTGCTCAATTCTAGGGATGAGATTCTCTGGGTGTCTGGCTGCTGGCCAGAATGCTGGGATGGGGGATATTCTGCTCCTAGGCCCTCTTGGAATACCAGGGTCCTAGCTCCTGCCTGGTTTTGTTCAGGCTCCGCTCTGGCATGCTTTTTGGACCCTGATTTTTTTCTATCCTCCCTTCTCAGCCAGAGAGCAGGGAAAAGAAGAGGCTCTTCTCCACCCATGGGCCACTGTGGGGCCCAGTCCCCAGGAGCTTCAGGATGTAGGATGCCAGAAAAGTCTGTAGCATGGCTTCTCTCTCTGGCTGACAGAGAAGTCATGGACAGTTTGAAGCTCAACACAAAATAAGTAGGAGAGCATCCTATTATAGTGATTATTTATCTTATCTTGATTACTGATTATCATTCAAAGATGATAAAACCCTCTCAAATTTAATTCTCTTCTATCCCAGGGAGGCAAAATGGATTGACATAAACCCAGAGAAGCAGGTTCCTCTAGGGTGCACCCTGGTCAGGGAAGTTACTTTTTGGTGGGTAGAAAGCTCTAAGAAATAAAGTGTGGGGATAAACAGTTATTTCCTTAGGTAGAAAAGTATTAAAAAAGAATCTCAAGCCAGTGGGAAATCAGATTTTTTGGGAATTCAGGTATTTTAACAGCCCTTGGTGAGATATATTGCCAAGGACTTTTTAAACATATAAGTAAGTTAGATCCGTTGGTTTCTTTTTATGTTTATAGCTTCAGAGAACCTCATAGAATTTTTCTAGAAACCCACGTTGCTTTTACTTCCATTATTTATGCCTTTTAATAATGTAGATTAATTCTTATTATTCCTGCTGTTCTCTACTGTTTTTAATTGAAGTTTTATAAAAAGACTTAGTATTTTTATTTTAGATGTTTACACAATAAATAAAATTGGAAAGAGGGGGATTTTATTGTGGTTTAATTCTTTAACTATGTATTATCCATAATAAAAAATGAACAGTGCAACACTTCATTGCTTTGATCGGCAATTCCATTATTTGATTTTAAATAAGTGGTTCTGTTCTTTTAGGCAACATTACATGTGATGGCATATGTTAGGTGCCAGGAGATACCCTAATACAGGTTCTGCAGTGCACATGGGGCATTGGGGGGCTGCCCCAGGAATGTTAGGGTCACCTTGTCCATGATGAACAAGGCAAAAGCAGGCCTGGAAATTTGAAATAAATATCCCCAGCCAACACAAGTGCATAAAGAAAAGGCTTCAGGTTACGGTACTGCTGAAATCTGTTTAGAGTAATGGCACCAAAGACTTTTTAAGGTCTTATTAGATTCAGAACTTTGCAAGTTTCTAAGTACCTATGACTTAGTAAATACTATGACTTCTGACCCTTCACTTACTAGAACTGGTTGGGGACATTGGACCATTGTTGAGGTCATAATGAAAAGGTTCCAGTTCTTAATACAAATTAATGTGAAGTTGGTGAATGGACTTGACCCATGAAGGTAGTGGCCCCAGGAAAGAGAGTTTGCCTGCACATAGATTATCTTGCCTTCTGCACAAGCTTCAGCTGTTGCTTTTTGGTGGGTTCTGCCTCAACCTTATCCAAGTTATGACCCTTTTGGGTGTGTGTGTGAACATGTGCATGATTTTATGTGCATCTCCCCAGGTATATTATATCTAGCCCCAGCAGATGGGCGCAGTGACCCATGCCATGGCCCCTCCCAACTCCTTAGGGCACTTAGAGACATCTAGTATGGATACCTGCACCCTAAGGCAGGCAAGCAACTCTATCATTTGTTGCAGACTGGGAAAATGAGGCTCTTTATTATACAATGCTAGAATAATTATAGTCTAATTATATAATACTTTCCCCTACAATTCCACCCCCAGCTGCAGCTAAATATGTAGCATTACTGTTATTCTGCAAGGACAGTCTGTACTGCAGGGTGATGGTGAACGTTGAAGGTAGACACCTCTGTCCAGGTCCCATGTCTAGGGACCATATTTACTTAACCAGGAAACAAAAAGGATCACCTGATGTGATCAAACAGAAGAGGTAGTATAATTTTAAGATTCTCCTGTAGAAAATAACTTTTAAAGATATAAGAACTAAATCACATATCTATGTATTTGATGAATTACTCTGTTGAACAGAGAATTTATGAAATGGAGAGTGTCTAGGATTATCTAGATTAAATGATGACCATTTATCTCTTCTGAGGTTGTTACACCTCTTTATCATGAAAAGATCTATTTTATCTAAAATAAAGATAATGATTTAGCTACTTAACAGGAGTTTAGGCTGATCAGTATATACTAATGTGGTACCAGCTATTGTTTGACTCATCTGTCAGTCTAGCGGTTACATCCAAGTCATTATGTTTATTTCACTCCAAATCTTAAGACAGTGAAATTCCTCAGTTTTAGAAAGAATCAAAATTTTTGATGCACAAAACTCTGCATTCTGTGGAACACCACATCTCTCAGTATTAACAGACATTTGTAGGACACTTTATTCTCATATGGGCTCTGTGTGATAGCCACTGTGTTACAGAGGTTGAAACTGAGCTGTGAAGGCTCAAAATAACCAGTCCCTATTGCTTTATTGTCCAGTAATGAGTGCCAACAAGTAGCAAGGTCATGATCCTCTCACCTCTTCCACTCCCTGCTCCCAACTCATCCCAGACTCCTGGTGGGATTTGGACTTGTGTTTGGAATCTTTTCCCTACAAGCCACCACCTTGCTCAGTCCCACCCTTGTTCCAGACAGTGTGCGTGTGTGTGTGTGCGTGTGTGTGTGTGTGTGTGTGTGTGTGTGTTGTTTTAGTGGAGTCTAGACAGAGAACCTTTGGAAAGGACACAGGAGATCATGTAATCCAATACCCTGGCCATGACTGACAGGAAAACACTGAGAACCATCACAGCTACTTAGCATGTTGGTGGCAGTGGTGGAGTAGAATCCAGGCATTCTGCTTTTTCAGTCTGGTGCACTTTCCACTCAGCATAGCACTACATTATTTATAGGCTTTATACCTGGACTCCTGTAATGTTTACCTTTTCTCCCTGTACCTTCAAGGGCTCTTAAGAAGGTATGGGGAAATTGGTGATATTGCCTATACTTCATGGGCTTCCACACCTAGGTTACCTTTCCCTTGTATTTCTTTTTTCTAATTTTCCAACTTTTTAACCTGAAGAATAAAAAATAAAGATACCTGAGTCAAAAGAGTTTTATGGTTCCCAAGAACAGAAATTAATAAAGCTAAGGTTCTTCTGCTGGAAGAGTATGAATAATTAATATAAGCAATTAAGTTCTAAAACTCTAGAAGCATGACTCAAATTGATTATCTCATTTTGCTGCAGCTCTATTTAAACAGAACTATCAACCAAAAGAGGTTGAGAGCCTAAATAAACATTACAGTCTGGTAGTGTTTGTCATGGGGGGGCAAGGGTGGGAAATAGCATGCTCTTTCTACCAATATCCTTTCATTTCAACTGTTGATAAGCATTTACTTTGTCTTACGGGGCATTATACTTATTGAAAAATTCATGCTTTGTGGATAATCATAAAGTGAATGTTTAATACCTTTTGGAGATTGGATCTAAGATCATGTATAAAGGCAACCTCTTGAATCAATGAAAATGATAATAGTCTGAAGTACCTGTTTATATACTTAGTTGAAACCTGCTTACATAGTTAAGAGAAAATGCTTAGGCAAGAGCGGAATTTGTCATTTGATAAAATGTGTTAATTAGAGCTTAATTATCCAACTCTCAAAGTTAACAAATTAGCCCACAGAGAGTGTGCTTCTCCATGAGTGACTTCTGAAAGACAGCTGCTGCCCAGGAAATCCTTCCCTTCTGTGCTGCGTCTGGTTCTGGACCAGGTGCCTGGAAAGCACTGCTAATAAGACTAGCTCTTGCTTGTCTCTTGTGATGCAGTGCAGTGACAAATTTGGTAGCAGTTTTAAAGTCCCCTTTTATTCTATTTTCTTATTTTAAATTATCATGTTTACAAGCGGTGATACTAGGACAGTATACAGTTCAAATTATGTAGACTGAAGCAACTTAACTAAGAAAATATGCTACTGCACCTGTAAGCCATTTCAGTTGAGTTAGGTTGATATTCTCCTCTGCTCCACTAACCCATGTCACGATCACTTGTTTAACGTACCTTCTCACACTGTTATCTTCATTTCTGCAACTATAGGAATGACGTCCTGCAGTGGCCTAAAATACTGCAATCTGCACGCATACCTTGCTATTATTGAATACTGTTTTTGGTTTGACATTTCAGGTATACTCATGAGAAAAGATAGGTTATGATTCATGTTTTTCACCAAAGGCTTTTGAAAGCCTTAGAGAACAAAGAAGTATTACTCTGTGATCTTAAAAATAACAACAGGTACCATGTGTTGGATTCTCATATTGTCCCAAGCACTTCAAGAAATGCCTCACATAAACTCTCTGTTTTGATCTTTATGAAAACCTGTGGAATACATATTATTATCCTCATTTTATGGATGAGGAAACTGAGGGAAAATGAAGACAAAAAGTTGCCTCAGATCTCAAAACTGGAAAAATACAGAGCCAGATTTCACCCAGTTCTTTCTGCCTTCTTCCCTCTAAACAGATCAAAATAGGATGACAAAGTTAGAATGCCTTTATGAGTGGAAAAAATAACATTTTAAGAGTTTTTTTAAAGAAAAAACATAAATCCAGTAAATCAACAGTTTTTTTTTTTTTCTTTTTGCAGTGTGTAAGAAAGCTTCTGTTGGGATTCTTTAAACAGTATAAATAACAGAGCTCTAGCTGCATGCTTGCCGTGCTGGACGTAAATAGCCTACCGTATTTGGAATTGTTCTAGATTAGGAAATTAGTTAAAACTATAACAAGGAAAATTAGAATCTGATTCCAAATATTCCAGATATATGGGGAAGGTCACCAAGAAGAGTCCCCACCTGGAGGGCTGAAGAGGTGCAATGAACCAGGAAGGGGCGTTCCTGCTGAGTTTGCCTTTCACCATACCAGAGGGAATGGTTGGAAGCTGAGTAACATCACATGAGTAAAAAAGGAGCAAAAATGTTTTTGTGTCTGTTGCAAAAGGCCAGAATACCTCACATCCAATTAGGGCCTAATTAGATTCTGCTAATTGTTGGGGATTTAACTTCTCCATGACCACAACTGTGAATGAAACAGAAGAATGTCATTGACTCATGTTAGTGTTGAAGTTTCATTCAGCACACGCATAGTCCATTCCATGATCCACGAGGATTTCATTGAATTACAATTCTTTTTTTGTGTCATATACACAGATATATATGCTATTGTTTATGCATTTAGCTTGAAAGATGACTTTTTTTTTGGCCTCAAAGCATATTATTAACCCTCTTAGTCTGTTAGGGTTGCAATAATGAAATACAGTCATGCATCATTTAATGATGGGGATATGTTTGAGAAATGTGTCATTAGAGAACTTTGTCACTGTGCAAACATCATAGAATGTACTGACACAAGCCCAGATAGTATAGCTTACTACACACCTAGGCTATATTGTATAGCCTGTTGCTTTTAGGCTATAAACCTGTACAGCATGTTACTGTACTAAATACTGTAGACAGCTTTAACACAATGGTATTTGTGAATTTTAACATAAAAAGGCACAGTAAAAATGCAGCATAAAAAGATTTAAAATGGTACATTTGTAAAAGGCAGTTAGCATGAATGGAGCTTGCGGGACTGGGAGTTGCTCTGGGTGAGTTGGTAAGTGAGTGGAGAGGGAACGTGAACACCTAGGGCATTAGTGTATGTACAACCGGAGACGATGAGCTTTGTACTCTTAGGCTACACAAAATTCATTAATACATTTTTCTTTCTTTATAGTAAGTTAACCTTAGCTTATTACAACTTTTTAACTTCATAAACCTTTATATTTTTAAACTTTTCACTCTTTCTTAATAACATTAGCTTAAAACACAAACACATTTCACAGCTGTACAAAAAAATTCTTTCTTTATAACGCTATTCTATCAGCTTTTTTCTATTTTTAAATTTTATTTTTTTTACTTAAAAATTTTTTTTTGTTGAAAACTAAGACACACACCTTAGCTGATGCCTACACGGGGTCAGGATCATCAATATCACTGACTTCCCACTCCACATCTTGTCCCACTGGAATGTCTTCAGCGGCAATAACACACATGAAGCTGTCACCTTCTATGACAACAATGCCTTCTTCTGGAATACCTCCTGAAGGACCTGCCTGAGGCTACTTTACAGTTAACTTTCCTAAGTAGTAGTAGGAGTATTTTATCTAATATTAAGATAAATAGTATAGTAAATACATAAACCAGTATCTTAGTTGTCTCTTATCAAGTATTATATACTGTCCTTCATTACTGTATTGCTGTACATTTATACAGCTGATAGGGTGCAGTAGGCTTGTTTACACCAACATCATCACTGACACATGAGGATGTATGTCTGCCATGATGTCACTAGGCAATAGGAATTAGGATTATAATCTTACAGGACCACTATTGTATATTGGGTTCGTCATTGAAACATCATTATGAGGTGCATTACTGTACCTTAAACTGAGTAATTTATAAGCAACAGAGATGTATTGCTTACAGTTCTGGAGGCTGAGAAGTTCAAGATCAAGGTGCCAGCAGGCACTCTGTCAGGTGAAGGCCTATTCCTCATAGATGGCACCCTCTCTATGTCCTCATGTGGCAGAAAGTGCAAGGGAGCTCACTGGAGCCTCTTTAATAAAGGCACTAATAGGCCGGGCATGGTGGCTCTTGCCTGTAATCCCAACATTTTGGGAGGCTGAGGCAGGTGGATCACCTGAGGTCAGGAGTTTGAGACCAGCCTAGCCAACATGGCAAAACCCCATCTCTACTAAAAAAAAAAAAAAAACAAAAAATTAGCTGGGTGTGGTGGCAGGCGCCTGTAATGCCAGCAACTTGGGAGGCTGAGGCAGGAGAATTGCTTGAACCCAGGAGGCAGAGGTTACAGTGAGCCAAGACTGCACCATGGCACTCCAGCCTAAGGAACAAGAGCAAAACTCCATCTCAAAGAAAACAAACAAACAAACAAATAAATAAAGGCACCAATCCCATTTATGAGAATGAAGCCACACTAACTTAGCCACTTCCCAAAGACCCTGCATCTTCATACTATCACTTTGGATATTAGTTTCCAACATATGAACTTTTGGGAGACATCAGCATTCAGACCATGGCAATAACAAAAAGTACGTAGATTTGATGAACCTGGTATCTGCTTACTTTGTTAAATTAACAGATGAAATGTGAATGGTTTTTATAGAAGAACTAACTTCAATCTTTTACAACTTTCAGGGCCTGTAATTCAGTGTTTACAGCATTAGACCACTGTCATGAAGCCATAGAAATAACAAGCGATGACCACGTGATTCAGGTATGGAAAGAAACCACCTATATCAGTAACATCAAAAAAGAACCTTTCAGGTTTAAGCCATGCTTTTTATCAAGTACTTTCCCGTCATCCTCACATATCAGCACATTTTCTTAGAAGAAAGAAATCTCAAACTGTGCAAAGAATACTGATAGACTTAAGAATTAGATATTCGATAAAGAACAAAAAATTACTACTTTAGATCAGAGCCTGCAATTTCTTTGATAGAAATGGGGTTTAAAAAAAAAAACTTATTTTTTTGAGACAGATTCTCACTCTGTTACCCAGGCTAGAGTACAGTGGTAATCTTGGCTCACTGCAATCTCCATCTCCCAGATTCAAGCGATTCTTGTGCCTCTGAGCAGCTGGGATTACAGGCATTTGCCACCACACTCAGCTAATTTTTATATTTTTAGTAGAGATGGGGTTTTACCATGTTGCCCGGGCTGGTCTCAAACTCCTGACCTCAAGTAATCCACCTGCCTTGGCCTCCTAAAGTGCTGGGATTACAGGTGTGAGTCACTGCACCCAGCCAGAACTGGGATAAACTCTTTTGACTACCTTTGAAGACCCTATTCACATAGAAATAAGTCAGACTGGTACAGTAAATGCTTATAAATGCCTATGGAACAGAATATTTTGAAAGATACTCATTTATTTGCCTGCAGTGGATATTCTAATTATAAAGCATTCTTACCTGAATGTCATCTTCGTAAGGAAATGTGTGTAGCAGAGAAATCTTTCTAGAAATGAGGTGTTCCTATTATAATTGTTGGAAAGTAAGACATCTGTATTTGTAAAATACTCTGAAATGTAGACTTTCCACTAATCAGTGCTTGCTTACCTGCAGTTGATTTGCAGAGTGGCATGGAGTGTGAGGAACACTTGTTGTCATCAGTAGGGCACCAAAGAAGTGGGCAACACACAGTGAACCCCACAGCAGAAGCCTCACATTTGTCTGCTCTGAAGTCTCCCAGTGCGCGCGCACACACACACACACACACACACACACACACACACACACTGTTCTCATACCACACCAATGACATCAATAGCCCACCCTGCCTAGGCCCTGTCATCAGCACTTTCATTAAGTTATCTCATTTCTATTCAGTAGGGGTAGGAAAGAGGCATCATTGCCCTGCAGTACAGATGAGGAAACTGAGTCCCAACAAGGTCAATGAGCTTATCCAAGAAAAACCTTAGTAATAAGTATTGGAGCTAAAATATATAGTCGTGTCTCCAAAGCCTTCCTACCTGGTTTCCTGTTTAGCTGTATTTTTAGAATATGTTTTCTGGCTGCTCCTTGAAATCTATCTGAAGGCTTCCTCATGTTGCTGGCTATTAGTGGCCTACCTGCCCAAGGTCTGCCTTCTGGACCGCAGAGAGAGGCAGATGTGTTTCTGTTACAGACTAAGCACAAAAATCCCACATCTCCCCCACTTATACCCAGACTCGAACAATCAATTCTATTCACAAAGCACATTTTCTTTGCACCTCCCTGCTTTGCACTATGCAGCTAGCTGGATTTGATTTCAGAAATGAGGAGAAGGGGCTCCACTAGCTGCCCCTCTCCACCTGTAATCTAACAAACAACTTCTAGAACAGGGAACAGAGTGTTTCATTCTCCAGTTATCAATTGGTGGTTAGAAAGCCTGTATCCCTGGGAGAGGTAATATTGTGATGGTGTCACATTATGATATTAATCATCTCCCAGCCTTTGCCGTGAACAGAAAGAAACAGGAGCGTGAGGCCAGTGTAAGACATGCTGTAAAGGAGAGGTGGAAGGACAGTCACTGCCTTGAAAGGGAAACTTGGACTCTGAAAGAAGACTTTACAGCTTTTTTTCCCAGAGAACCTGTCATCCTCCTTTAGAAAAATGTACCAGCAATCTATAGTATGGAACTTAAAACAAGAGGAAGGAGGAAGGAGATGAATAGAGGTTGTTGTATGTAAGGTGAAATGACCTATGTGCTACATATTTTGAGGATGTCATCATTGGATGGGATAGTTCATATATGTTCTTACTTGATATCAGCAGCCTTTTCAAGGCACTCCAATCAAGTAGTTAGATGCCTTTTTGAGTACAAATCTTCAGAGGTCAGGCAGCAGCACTTAAAATTTAGAAGCAATATCTGTCTGTCTATCTATTCATCTATTACCTATCCACCCATCCACCCTCCCTCCTTTCCTTCTTCTCTTCTTCTTTCCATGTCCCCATCAATCTAAACTCTCTATATATTTGCTTTAAAACACTTAATATGGTACTTGCCATATACTAGGCTCAGTTCTAACTATTTTACATATACTCATTTATTTCTTAAATCAGTCCTGTGAGTCAAGTATCACTATTGTACTCATTTTGCAGATGAGGAAACTGAGGAGCAGGGAAGTTAAGTAATTTGTCCATGGTTTTGTAGCTAGTAATTGGCAGAGCCAGGATTTGAACTTGGGTACCTTGGCTCCAGAATCCATATCTGGGAGTACCTGTTGCATTGTGGTTTCAGAAACCCTGGTATGAAAGAAGGGCCATGACTTCTACCCAAATTTACAACTTAATAGAGAAGGCAGAGTGAACACATATGAAAAGGCAGGAGGATATAGCCAACAAATAAAGAAAATAATATATTCTCTAATATTTTCCATTCACTCATCAAATAGTTACTAAACAGTCCTGAGTATCCAAAGATCAATTCAGAATAGTCTTTGCCCTTGAGAAGTTGAATGTCCACTGGGAGAGAGAGATAAACAAAAATTTAAATTTGGTGTAATAAGTCACTGAAAGTCTGCACAGGCATCAGTGACAGCTCTTGGGAGTGGACGAGACAGGGGAGTCAGGGAAGGCTTCCTGGAAGAGGAGAGGGATAAATTGGAGTTGGAGAGGGAAAGAGATGGTGAAAGGTATTATAAGCAGAGAAAGCACGTGGGGAAAGCCTCAGAGATGAGGGAGACATGCAGATAGCTCAGCAGCCTGCAAGGGTGGGCCAGGGAGGCACGGGGCTGGCTTTGTGAGCAGGGGTCATACTGTAAGTGATGCCCTTCCCTGCCTAGGGAGGGCCCTGACTACCACATGTCAGTGATGGGGCCAGGAGGGAGTCTGGATATCCATGAAGACAATGTCATGCCCACTCCCCTTCAGTCACCTACCAAAGGCTTGATGACCAGAGCATCTTCCAAACCCCTTCAACTCTCATGGTTGACTGTGTTAATAGAGGCTGTGTCTCCCAGGGAACAGCTCCCCAAGTGCCCCTGCTCCACCCTGTCCATGACTGCTGCCATCGCAGTTGAGGGCAAGAGTGATTAAACTTGCTCTGAACATCTCCGAAGCAGCAGATGGATACAATTTATGCCCAAAGAAATCCATGACCCAGATGCAGTCTGTTCAGTTTTCCCCACGTTCTTCACCGCTTGTCTGTCTCCACTCAGCCCCCATCTGTGTTCTTTGAAAAGAAATCAGAGGGTGGGACAGGACCTGGGAGTCAGCTAGAGTCATGGCTCTAAATTCTAGGACCCTGGGCAGAATTTTGGAAAGAAACCTCTGAGTCTGCTGGCTCCAGAATCTGCTGAGGGGAGCTTCACACCTGCCTGAGCCCAGCACTGAAAGGGCTGCCCCCTGCCCAAGCCATTTAACTGAATTTATTGTTCCGATTCTACTGGTAGTGGCCCCAACTGTAGCAAACATTGATCAGTAAGTGGTGGCAATTGGGAAAGAGACAGGAGAAATCCAGTTGCAGAGATGTGCATAATATAAGCCACCACTGTTGAAAGGAGTTTGTATTTGTTCATTTGTGTGTTTATAAGAGACAGGGTCTTGCCCTGTTGCCTGGGCTGGAGTGCAGTGGTGCAATCATAGCTCACTGCAGCCTCAAACCCCCAGGCTCCAGTGATCATTTGGCCTCAGCCTCCTGAACGGCAGGGACTACAGGTGTGTGCCACAACACCTGGCTAATTTTTTTATTTTTGTACAGGTAGAGTCTAGCTGTGTTTTCCAGGCTAGTGTTGAACTCTTGCCTCAGCCTCCCAAAGGGCTGGAATTGAATTACAGGTGTGAGCCACTGTGCCCAGCCTGAAGCTGTTTTTTGTTTTTTTTCTTAACTACAAACATATGGACCCAGTCCTAATTCATGTTTCTTTCTTTCTTTCTTTTTTTTTTTTCTGAGTTTTTCCTTATTCATGGGGCAGTAGATTGGGAATGAGTTCTCCAAGAGGCTGGTACTGCTAGATGAGAGCTTCCTGTTTATTCCTGCTGAAGTTTCTTCTGATTTCCTACAGGCGATCAGGATGGCCGTTGAATGAATAAATTGCTGCCAGGAGGGAGGCAGCTACTCTAGGAAGGGTTTGGGGATGGAGCAGGGCAGCAGGACCTGGCCAGCCAGTTGCATCAGAGAATGTTTGCCCTGGGACCTTCTTGCTTAATATTCCTCCGGGTCCCAACAAGTCTGCCTACAGGGCACACAGACGTTTCATGAACGCTGTCTTGTGTCCCCACACTGATCTCTACCCACCTCCCATTAACAGTATGTCAACCCAGCCTTCGAAAGGATGATGGGCTACCACAAAGGTGAGCTCCTGGGAAAAGAACTCGCTGATCTGCCCAAAAGCGATAAGAACCGGGCAGACCTTCTCGACACCATCAATACATGCATCAAGAAGGGAAAGGTGGGTCACACCCGCAAAATCAATCCACAAACCCTCTCCCCAATGCACTTTTTTTCTGTGAGTTTTAGAATTTCGTTCTTAAGATTAGCTTTTTTAATAATGTCATAATTAAGCTCTTTTATGTTTGCAAAGTGGGTTCATTTTTGAGTGAGCTTTGGAACTCAAGTGAATCTGGTGCTTATCATGATGGTAGAGAATCTGGTGATTCTGTGTAAAAATATTTCATCCTGTGCATGAATATATCCCATCTGTCATTGCTGGAATATTGTGGGTATCTCTGATCAGAGTTCCATCCAGAGAGCCGTTGTGTTTTTTCAGTTTATCCAGTGTTTGGGGCACTAGACATATTTAATATCAGTATTTATAGGTAGGCCAGGTTTTTTCCCAGTTTTCGTTTTATGTTGTCTGATCACTGTTCAACACGCATTTGTAGCTTTCTCCTCCCACCTGCACCTCCTTCTCCAGTGGCTTTCCCTTCATCTGGGTAGATAAAGGAAATAGGGGAAGTCCGACAGGAATTTTCCTGAAGCCCTCTCCTCCCGTGGAGCACTGCCTCTCATTGCTGGAACTGCCTGTGCATTTTCTGTTAAGCGTTCAGAATGCTTCTTCACATACAGTTTCTTTCATCTTCCTTTCTGTGATGTAAACTAGTTAGATAAGCACTGTACCCATTTAATAGATGGAACATTTTAGAGGGATCAGATACATTTGGATTATCGACAGTGGTCAAAATGTTTTCTTAATTGGGGCAATGAGACCAAAAGGGAAATAAGATATTATAAACTTTTCCCAAAAATTGTTCCCAAAGGAATACAGCCACACGTACCAAGATGCATACCAATTAGCCACTTTATGTGAGAGAGGGGGTAAGAAATGGCTGCAGGGAATCTCAGTTTCTGATTAGCCAAACCTCCCAGGTTCAGAGAGCAGGAATCTTTACGCTCCCCTTGGCCTCATTCATGGAAACTATGAGGAGCCAGGCTAACCCAGGAGAAGACTTGGCTGGGGGGCCCATAGGATGTTAGAAAGATAATGGGCTTCAGTGAGTGTTGAATAGACATGAACTTATAAGCAGATTTTCTGCTTCCTAATGTGGGCAAGTTAACTAGACTCTCTGAGCCTCAGTTTCCCCATCTGTAAATTTAGTATGATAATGCCAGGTTCACAGATTGCTGTGAAGATTTTGAGAGAGACCTCAGAAGAATCCCTTAACCTGGTGCCACAGCAGCCATAGGGCTGACAGCAGAATTCCACCCACAGGCCAAGTGTCCTGGGAGCTGGGACAGACAGTCTGGTGGTGGATACATGGATCTGTGGTCTTGTCTTCACACATGTAGCCACGTCAGCATTGCAGTGGGTACAACAGTATAGCAGGCGTTGTAAAATGAAATGAAAGCATGTGGGAACTTTCCTCCTCAGCCTGCTGAGACCCTCTGCAGGAGCAGCTGTCATCTTTGACTGAAGGATTTTAAGAGCTCTCTTTGTCCATGTAGGAGTGGCAGGGGGTTTACTATGCCAGACGGAAATCCGGGGACAGCATCCAACAGCACGTGAAGATCACCCCAGTGATTGGCCAAGGAGGGTGAGAGCAAACTCTTCAACTCTTTTAGCTGAAGATAAAGACTCAAGGCCCTCATGGGCATCGGGCTTGCAATGCCAGTATGAGCCTTACATCCACAAATGCAGCAGGGTTGTGCTGAATGTAGTGTAGACAGAGGCTTAGGGTTAGGGTTAGGGTTAGGCTTAGGGTTAGGGTTAGGTTTAATACTCAGCTGGCAGCAACCCCCAAACAGGGTTTTCCATGTCCTTTATGAAGCATCACCCCAGCCTCACATCTCCGCCTGATTCATCCATGCCTTCTGTCATTCCCAGTGCCCACTAGAGGGGCTTGATTTCTGGGCTTCTCTTTCCCCATAACAACAGTGGTCTCCTGCCAGTGCTTGCTGGCCTCAGCACTCGGTGCACAGGGAGCCAACCTTTCCTCCTGCTCAAGGCCCTGGCTCCATGCTGGTTCCTCCAAGCTGGTTCTGGGATTGTTCCTCCAGGGCCACGGTTTATGGAGAGAAAGGTGTGTCTGACCAGGAGCTGAAGGCATCTCAATCCACTGAATTTCAGATTACCAGAGAAGCCTCTCTCTTTTATGGAGAGTTAAGAAAAATATGCAATTCCTCTTCCTTCCTCCAGTTAAATTTTGTGAGAAGATTTACAAAGCCAAACATGGTGAGCTTTGCAAAACAAGCTGAAGGTCAACACCAGGTTCATAGTTTGAGTGTATAAGGAAAACAACATTGTGTGACCTGTCAGAAAAAGATGAAGCCATGGTCGTCCTGCCGGTAACTGGGACAGGAGTCCCACCTGTGACTCTTAGGACTACTTGAGTTCCTTGCAAATTGTTGCATGAGTAGAAAACAGGATGTTTCATAAAATCAGCCAGGTATTTGTAATAGCTTATTTCCCCTCCAATTTTAGTTAGTTTCAAAATTACTCTCCCATCAATTCAGGCTACCTCCCATCAGTACCACCTGGTATTTCATGCCATTTTGTAATTTCGAGCTCCCTTTTTGCTTCACTCTAGATGATGGGGACACTGACAGGCCCCTAACTGAGGTTGTGAGCTGGAGAGAAGCTGCCCCTCAGCCCTCCTTCTGAGCGGCCTGGCCTCAGCGTGGCCATTCTCACCAGCAGGCAGTGCTGAGAGCCACTGGGTGGAGATGATGTCCATGGCTGTCATGCTTTTATCCTCATCCTTAGACCATCTCCTCAGAAAATCAAAGCTAAGAATCCCTTTGTGTGTGTGTGACCAGAATCATTAGACAACCAAAGCAAAGCAGACATGCTATTGTCTTGCAGTTTCCATCAGGATACATTTTTTTTCTGATCTTTCTGATTTTACCGATAAGAAAAAGAAGTTCTTTTGTCCAGACACAATTTCCAGTGTTATTTTCCCTGTAATTGTAGGCAGTGAGCCATCAGCGGCAATTCTTATTAAAAGTGGGGAAATTTTACCTCTTCTTAGTTGAGTGAAGTTCATTACAGAGTGATCAGTATTTTCTATCCTCTTTTCAGAGGCCTCCAGAGAAAAGTGAACCAGGTAAAGAGAGAGAGAGTGGGACGCCCCATGGGCTTCTGGGGCAGAAAGCCTAATGTAACTCTGGATTTCATGGCTTTACTCTCAGTAAAATATTGACGACGAGCTGGTTTTGGCACAGGGCTGAGGTACCTGTCGTCTTTTGCCTGATTTTCCTTGTGACAGTGATAAAGAGTGAGACCACCCACTGAGTTTTGGGACCCAGTCCATGACCTTGAAATGAGAGGATTTTTATCTGCCTGAAACATGCCATTATGGTGACAATTACAGTGTGAAAGAATATGGGATACTTACTGTAAAACCAGCAGCCATGAAATGTGGTCATTGCCCAAATGAATCTTTTGTAGCTATGCAGTTATTAGTGTCAGCAGAATTAAAACTAATTTGTTTGTGGCAGCATTTTATCCCATCAACTGAAGATGTCTAGGAGCCAGACGTTAGGAGTCAGTTACAAAATGAGATACCCGTTCGGGAAGTGTTGCTGAGCCCGCTGTGACATATCAGGGAGGCCCAGTTTCCGAAGGCATGTGTGGGCTCTGTGTGAAAACTGTGTTTTCTGTAGACTGAGTCTTGCTGGAATTTTAAAGCTGCCCTAGGATGAACCCTGGGGTTTAGCTTTAAGAAGTCTGTTGATGTTTTCATTTGGCGATTTGTTGAATCATTTCATATTGGACTCACTAATAACTGATTATTTATGTTATTAGGAAAATTAGGCATTTTGTCTCCCTCAAGAAACTGTGTTGTACCACTGACAATAATAAGCAGGTACAGTATCAGCTCCCTTCGCTGGCTTTGTCTGCTTGGCCGTGTGTCACTTCTGTTCTCTGCTTGTCTCACCACTGTTCTCTGCTTGTTTTTCTCCATGTCTAATTGTAGCTGCCAATTAAGAAGGTTTATGGGAAAATTATGCTTCTTTGACAAATTTTTTTTATTTCCCTGCAAGCCAATATAACTTTATTTGTAGAACACATCAGTTATGATTTAGCTTGTGGCTGAGGAACTCTCTAATATATAAAGCATAAAATTCTTTCTCCAAATAAAAAATGTCCTATTTTTTATCTTAATTTCTTAGTCAGTTGGAAAGTATTCATTTGAGCATTTCACCCCTACAAATTCTTACAAAAATAAGAATCATTCCAAATTAGTACTGTGACTTTTTCCTACCTTTGTATCACATGGAACAATGCATTTGAATGTTATCATCTGCAGTAACAAAATTTTAATAAGCCACTATATTTAAGAACTTTTTAAGGTCATTTTATAATGGAGGGCAACATTGGTGTAGGTATTTTTTCTATTTGGTTGGTATTTTTACTACTGGATTACGTGTATTTTCACTTCATTGTAGATTATGTATATATTCACATCATTGTAGATTAACCATTATGCAACAAACATAATTATCAGTGATCTAGTTTTGAAAGCTTACAACATATGGCCTTTGATTTTTATGAAGATTTTAAAGAAGAGGCAGTATCTCTAAGGGATTTCAAGGGCTTCTGTAGCGTAATCCATTTTAGTAGGAGATGGCAGAAATGTGTGAAGTGCTGGATGAGAAGGTGAAGCCTAGCCAGTCCTGGACATCGGCTGGAACCAATGGGATGTGAGTAGACAGTGGGGTGAGCCCAGTGAGCAGTGAGCATCTTCAGTCGGCTGTCTCAGGGTATCAAAAGGGTCCATGTCCACGTGCTTCTTTAAAAGACGTAGTTCAAGATAAAATGCTTCCTCCAGCCCAAGAATTTCATCTGAATTCAGGGCGTTTTCACTTACTACCATGTGAGAGGCAAGCCTTTGGAGACCTCTGGCAAAGGAAAGAATGGCCTTTCATAGGGGAAAAAAAATGTGTTCCAACAGCCACATTGCAACATACCAGGAGAAAGAATAAGTTCTTTGTAAGAGCTGACGTAGGCAGAAAGAGAAGGACAGGACACCTGGTGTCTCTTTAGAGACAAACTTCTGAACACAAGCAGTGCAGACCAACATTTCTGGGCTGTGGAGCCACAGTAGAGGACATGGGTCCACTGGGGCTCATTCATTCTCATGCTAGAAATTGACCAAGCACAGTTCATGTCCAGTTCATGCCCTTCCCCCACCAACTCAGCCTTGCTTCTCCTTACCCCCTTTCTCACTTAATGACAGGGACTCCCACTCTCCCTGTCACCAGTCTCCCTGCAACTCCATGCGCCCAAATCCTACCAGTTCTTCATGGCCCAGTACAGGAAACATTAAGTAGCACCTTCCTCCTAAAGGCCCCCAGGGTACCCTCTGTACTTTGTATCACCCCCCACCATTTTCACAGCTATTTGTGTGCTAAACTGCCCTTTCCCCCCTAGCAGGGTCACTGGTCTGTGCTGTCCTGCGTGCTCACACTGCCTGGCATGTAGTAGGCCCTCAAGCTGCTGGCTAGCGTGAATGAAACTGAATGTCTCAGTCCTGGCATCCTTCCTGCTGTAAAGTCCTCCTGCCTCACTGGGAGAACAGGCAAGCCCTTAGCACCGGACTTGAGGATGCAGGGGTGAGGGGCCACCTGCTTTTTTTCTGAAGCTCTAAATAGAAACGCCTTCACCACCCTGAATTAGCTGCGGCTCTGAGAAAAGTGGAAACGCAGAGCTCAGATACCCTGAGCCATTGACGTCACCTAATGGTACTGCACAGGCCTAGAGAGATGTTTAGATTTTCTAATAACAAAGCATTTTTATACCTCTGGCTAGCTTCAGTGTTTCTCCTCCTCATCAAAGGATGCTGCAGTGAATGGCAGTGGGATCTGTTTGGGGGAGGGCTCCTGTCTGCAGGTGGTTCCGGTGGCGCAGTTTTCTGGGGTTTAGCTCTGATGTCAAAATCTGCTCATGGGTTTGCATTTTAACAAGGAGTGACGCCGTAAGCCAGGCTGCTGTCTCCTGGTACTGCTTGCTGTCAGCAAAGATTCCTTTTCCTATATGAGCCTGTAGCTTTTTGCCAAGAGGGTGGAAATGTTTGGTGAGGTTTGTCTGCTGTCTTTCACTCTTCTACACATACATTTTCTCCCCAGGTATGAGGTAAACACCTGTTCTGTGCTGGCACTAGGGACGCAATGCATCTGCCCCAGATGCCAGGGAGGCCACAGACGGGTAAACAGAATAAATGGAATGCAGCACAGAGGAGGTGTGAGCCAAGCACTGGAGAAGCTCAAAACCCAGGACCTAAGGAGGCTATCTGGGATTTGTAGGTATTGTCTAAAGCAGGGGGTAACAAACTAGAGCCTACAGGCCAAATGTAGCCTGTGCTGTAAATAAGGTTTTATTGGAATACAGCCACACTCTCTTGTGTGTTGCGCCTCTGGGGGCTTTCATACTATGGTGGCAGAGCTGAGGCCACATGGCCCGCAGAGCCTAAATATTTACTCTCTGGTCCTGCACAGGAAAAGGTCGCTGACTTCATTTCTTGAAGACAATTTTCTTTCTTGGATGTTGCATTTTCTTAGGCCAGCAGCTGTCTGCCCTGACCTCCCAGAAGTACCCTTTCTCTCCTTCATACACTTATTTTTGCCTTCGTGCCAACCTCTGTATCCTGTCTCAGAGTTTATCTCAGCCTCTCCATACTGCTGTGAATATGAGGACCTTGGTCCCCTGAGGCTTTTGCCTTTTTATGAAGACAAAATCCAAATGCAAATGCATGACTCAAACTTCAGAATTTCAAGGATCTGCAACCATGGTCCAAGAGTCATACTTGCACAGAGAAAAAAGGAGGCAGTTAGGGCCCTGACATTATATCAGCTCTTGTTTTTTTTTTTTTTTTTTTTTTTTGAGACAGAGCCTCACTAGGCTGGAGTGCAGAGGCACGATCTTGGCTCACTGGGTTCAAGAGATTCTCCTGCCTCAGCCTCCTGAGCAGCTGGGATTATAGGTGTGTGCCACCGTGCCCGGCTAATTTTTGTATTTCTTATGGAGACGGAGTTTCACCATCTTGGCCAGGCTGGCCTTGAACTCCTGACCTCAAGTCAGGACCTCCTGATCCGCCTGCCTCAGCCTCCCAAAGTGCTGGGATTACAGGTGTGAGCCACCGCGCCCAGCCATCAGCTCTTCTTTTTACATTTTAATGTGGCTGCTAGAAGTTTTAAATTACATGTGTAATTTGCATGCATGGCTCACACAGTATTTTTATTGGACAGACCTGGTCTGAACTTTCTCTCCCTTGCCAAATCCTATCACAGATTCACCTCACCTGCCCTTTTGCAGGTGACGGGATGCTAATGAGCTACAGACATCCTCTTGTTTCTAGCAATGAGTCAGCCCCAGACTCACTGAGCCTCCAGGAAAGGATGCTGTAACCAGTTTCCCAGTCAGCTAGGAGGCTTTTACTTTCACTAGAGGACATTCTGATGGGTGCTGAAGCAAACCCTTAGAGAATGTTTTTGTGGGGAGATGGAGAGCCCCTTTCAATCATTCTCAAACTGCTGCAGAAAGTTAGGTCTCACTTTCTAATAGAGCTCTTTGGTGGACAGTGGGAAGTACCATGCCCTATTGAGCAAACTCGGGCAAGGGGACACCACAAGCCCCAGAAAACTGAAGAGAAGTGGGATGCATGGGAGCCAGTGAGGGCTAGTGGACAGTTAGACACGGTCATCATCCCTAAGTTGTTTGGGCAGCGAAGTGGGGAAGGCTTATTCTCAAAGAGACCACATAATGCTTTAAAACCCTTTAGCCATGGGTTGAGATGGTGGGTTAAAGGAGATGGTCAGCGCCCCCTCAATCAGAATGACCTCCTGCCCTTTTGTGAGCCACCAGTTGACAGCTGGTAAGATTGTTTTTCCTGGCACAACCTGGCTTCACCAGCATGTCACGGAGGAGACTGCCCCACATTCTCACCAGGCTCTAGGATCTTCTCTCCAAGCCCAGCAGGTCCTTGAACATGGCCCTTGTCTGAGATGTGTGCAATCTGAGTGTGACTGACAGGCTGCTCCACCAGGCACCTTTGGTCGATTTCTGTCCTGCTTCACAGAACTGTGCTCACAGCCAGCTGAACCCACAAGCACCCAGGGACTCAAGGAAAGGGTCCTTGAGTACTGTGCCCAGTACTCCAGGAAAGAGGCAGCCTCATACCGTCTTTCTTTTCTCCCTCCCTCCTTTGTCTTCTCTTTTATCCATACTCTACCTTCAGTTGCCTTCTGTAGGCCTCCAGACAGTCCACAGATTTTCCCATCTCGTCCTTACGTCTGCTTGGACCATCGTCTCAATGGGTTTCTGCTGCCCGTGACCCTCGGTGGCTCATTCTGGTTCCTACCCTCAGGCTGGCCTTCTCTTGGATGTGTCCTTGGCCTTCACTGCCCCATGCCTTTACTCTCCCCACATTTGCCCATTTCTGTCTGTCTCACCTCTTTCCTTTCTAGGGGTGGTGTGGCCAATGGGCTTTCGCATGATGTGGGGCCTTTTCCTTCAGCTTCTGGCAAACCAGGATCCTTAGCCCTGACAGAGTCTAATTTCTCATGGCATTCTCGGCAGAACTGAGAGAAGAGAGTGGCAGGAGCAAGAACGAGGAGAGAGAGCCTCATGGATTTACTTACTGGGTTCTGTTCATTGCTAGGTAGTGATAAAAACAAAATTTTGACCTATCCTAAATTCCCAGTATTTGGCCCTTTGTTCATGCTTTTAAACAGTGTGGACCTTTTCTTGCATCCCTGTCCTTTAGGACTCAACTCAGCTTCTCTTCCCTCCAAGAAATCTGCCAAACCTTCCAGCCCATGTCTCTACCCTGCAAAGAGGGGGCAGGGTCACTTTTTATCTGCACCA